ACTTTTATAACTACAGAACTCTTGCAGACATGAAGGCTAAGGAGGGGCTGCTTCAGCATGAAAATAGCACATAACTTTTATGTATAAAAGCTTTGATTTCCATGATGTCAGATGTTCTGTCTACTCCATCATATTCTTCAAGTTAAGGTATGCTCCAAAACCTCATACAAGATGTATGGACACCATGCATGTGACTAGTTGGCTAAGCCATGTATATTTATGTAACAGTATTCAAGTCCAACAATGGTCTATCTTCTAGAACAGCCATAAAGTATGTTTTAACCATTTCCATGGATATTAAAACGAAGGTGTCGCCTGCTGTTAGTATCTATTGAGCGTTATCAATTGAATCTCCTTCCTGAAGTATTCCCTCCCAGTATTAAAATGGTAATGACTGGGCCTGAGCAGAAACAAAGGATACTCACACTGTCCAATAACATTGTTGGAAACACGTCTTTAGTCAAGTAGATGAAAACTCATTAGCAAATCTAAAGTCAGCTCATGTTGGGGAGTGGTGGGAAATTGTACTTAAAGTGAGACAGAGCTCAGTCCATTACTAGAATTACAGACTGGTCAGGAGAACAAGGAGCTGCTGATTATCTCTATACTACACAATTCCAGGTACAGTATCTCTATACTATTTATCATTGTAAACGTGATTAGATGTGTATATGTATTTGCTATGACAAGTATATTTTAGTGTGTCTATAATACTGTCCTTAGTAATAGTCACTGGCAACTTATGCCCCATACACATGATCAGAAAATCAGACGAGAAATATCACTTTCAAAGCGAACATACGATAATCTGATCGTTAGTACACAGCTTTCATCCAAAATTATTTGAAGGGATAAGCTCGAAAATTTTACCAGATCGCATGATTTCAGTTTAATCAGTACGGTTTTTGTCTGAAAATACAATACATTACTTCTGAATTTTTATCCTGTCTTACAAAAATTTTGGTCACTTTGGTAACCTATTTATTTTCGATATGAGACTAACATGCAAACAAAAAAAAAAAATGGACGATCATTTGTCCGGGGCTTTACTTGTCTGAAAGACCAGAGAAAATAATTTTTGTGATGGTTGTTAAGCAGCTGATAAGGAGCCTAGACATTTTTCCAGTCCAGCGGGCATCAGTGTGTTGCCCTCCCCCACACAACTGAATTTGTTTATTTATTGACTTTTTATGATGGGACATTTTGGAAAATTTTCCACCGATCTGCAGTCAATCATCTGAAACCACTGAATGGTATATTTTGATAATGGTAGGTGCTGCTGTCAGAAAAAAGTGTCCCAGTGGGGAGGATTCCTCCAGCCACCTCAATTGTGTGCATGCAGGGATCAGTTTTTTAAAATTTTAGTTGAACCCAATGGCCGAACATAAAAAATACTTTTTATAGTCATTCACTACTGAAGGGTGGAAGTCATTCACTACTGCTGGTGGAAGGAATTACAGAATGCAGAGGAAAACTAGACAACCAACATTACTGTATGTGATAGGTAATAAAGATCCTTCAGGCAGCAATATCTTTTCAATCAGTAACCATTTTAATTGCAAAATTCTACATTTTTTTCTTTGCTTTGTCAATAATTCTAAAAGCCAATATAAACATTTTTGTTTTCCACATAGGCGACAAAAGATCTTCATTAGTGCATGATGAGTCAAGTAGGAGACAAGTCCCATCAGTGCCCCGAGTGCCAGAAGTGTTTTACTATGAAGTCAAGCCTTAAAACTCACCAGAGGATCCACACAGGAGAGAAACCATTTAGATGTTCAGAATGTGACAAATGCTTCTCAAGAGTTCATCATCTTGCTCGACACCAAATGATTCACACAGGAGAGAAGCCATTTTCTTGCTCGGAATGTGGACACGTCTTTGCACACAAGGAACAACTAATCAGGCATGAGAAGACTCACACAGGGGAGAAGTCTTTTAGATGCTCAGAATGTGACAAGAGCTTTACTCTCTCTGCTAATCTTGCTGCACACCAGAGGATTCATACAGGAGAGAAGCCGTTTAAATGTTCAGAGTGTGACAAATGCTTCCGAGAAATTGGTCATCTTATTCGGCATCAGAAAATCCACACAGGAGAGAAGCCATATAAATGTCCAGAATGTGACCAGGGATTTGCACACAAGGCACATCTTACTGTACACCTGAGAATTCACACAGGAGCAAAACCATTCAGGTGTTCAGAATGTGACAAATGCTTCTCACACAAACAATCTCTTGCTTTGCACCACACGACTCACACGGGAGAGAAGCCATATGCATGTTCTGAATGTAATGAGTGTTTTACATCCAGACCACCTCTGATCCAGCATCAGAAGATTCACATCAATATTTGAAACTTCACAAATGTTTAATAAAAGTTTTTAATGAGCCAATCTTACTACGTTCAATCTCACCAGAAGATTCATGAGAGAACCAGAAGATTCATGAGAGAACCAGAAGATTCATGAGAGAACCATTCTTCAAATCATACACAATCATCAAAGACCTCATTCTAGGACTTCATAGTTTCAATTTTGTTCTGTGGAATGCAGTTGTTTTGTTGAACATTTTTCTGGAACAAATAAAATGTGAATTCTTTATTTTGAATATTCCAAGTGGTTATTGAAAGTTTAACTTGTGATTAATCAACTGGAATCTTTAAGAGTCACTAGTTTATTCTATACATATAGGTTAACAGAAAATTTATTTTATTAAGAAATGTAAATATAAGACATTTAAAAAATCTATTATATCTACTAATCTACTATAGTCTCATATATACACTCTCAAATGGTTTTCCGTAGGATTCTGCAGAATGACTAGAGGACAAACAGACAATAAGGTCGGCCAAATTCAGGGAGGAAGCACACAACTACATATTTTCTACTGGGTATTCTATCCATCCCTGATATATGATAAACCACAATAAAATAGCCTCCACACCCCTAAAAAAAGCCTGAACACCTCTGCCTATGAATTATGTTGGTGGAAGCTGAATAAAAAGGCTGGGCATATATTTTTTTTTATTTTTTTGGATCAGCCAGCAAGCTGATAAAAAATAAATAAGGAATGGTTTCCCCCCATTTACACAAGCAATTTGGATGGAGGAATCCTTCCTGCTGCGCTATTGTAGTCTGGAAGCGAGGACTTCTCGTATATATACATGATTTTGCACACCTGTGCCTCCCTGTAGCAGTACTTCTTCTATAAGGCGGACGGGAAGCGGTTAAAGGATAAGTTCACCTTTGGGAAACATGTTCCATGTTTCCCCAGTTTTAAGGGTGAAACATGTAACATGTTCCCATAGCAGCAGCTGCACCTGCCCCCCCCCTCACCTCCCTCTGGCAGAGAATACTGAGAGAAGTCCCCCCGTATTATCTGTCTGATTTTAAAACAGCGCGACCGTGCAGGGCTCCACCCACACGGGCATGTCATTCATTCACGGACTTCTGTGAATGAATGAACTGCAAGTCCTGGTAGCCTTAGCGGCTGTGGGATGTAGTTTTCAATGAACTACCACAGTGCTGTGGAATGCCGGGGTAATTCATTGAAGCTTCCTGTGAGTATATCTGCTTGACCGTACATCCCCTACAGCAAGCAGATATTCTGACAGGTCTGCAGGAGAGCTGTATGGCATCAGCAATTTACTGATCGTTGGGGCAATGCTTTCCAGGCACCTTTGGACAAAAATAATAAATGCACATTTACCTGCAAAAAAAGTGCATTTATTATTTTTGTCCAAAAGGTGAACTTATCCTTTAAGGCTCCGTTCACACCAATGTGTTTTTTACTGCTTTTTGCAGAAACGCACTGTAGTCCATTTAATATGGCTTCCTATGGAACATGTTCACATCTTTTTTTTTTTTTTTTTGAGCTGCTGCATTTTTGGAAAGGGTCAGGGACTTTTTGAAAAGCAAAAAGCAGCATTTTTGCAACAATACAGTTTAATGGAGAAGCTGATGAAATGCATGACAGTGTGTTTTTGCCGTGTTTTTGTCTTTTGCATTTTTATTCTGCCCAGCAACAAACAAATTTCCACTTTAACATAAAAGAAAAAAAAAAGAAAAAAAAAAGGAGTTGGACAAAAACACAAAATGTAGTAAAAACGTATTAAAAAAAACCACATCAAAACATGTGTAGAAAAACTCAAAATGAACTGCGAAAAGCACTGCAAAAAAAGGATAAAAAGCCAATGGCATAGATGTGAACGAAGCTTTAGGGTTGGGCAGCTGCCAAACCCAGGCAGCAGCCCACATTGATGAGACTGATTCATACTAGTGAAGGCCACGTGGCCCACATTTGCTCAGGTACAGCAGTCTATTCATTTGAATGGGCTGCTGTGCCACATGAACCACAAAAAAAAGGTGCCCGTACCTTTTAAAAAATACTGTCCATCTCCAGGGTCTTTTGTCCATGTGGTTTCCCACAGTTCCTGCAACCGTGATCACGCTTCAGGCTCAGATGCATGGGGGGGCCATTCAGAGTGAATGATAGATCCATGTGTTTTGCAAGAGCAGTGCGATTTTGCTGCAAGTGGTTGCAGGTGCGATTCCCACAACTATAACACAGTGTAAATCAGGCCTTACTGAAGACAAATAGTCTGTTTACTATTCACTGTGCAAGGGGATTTTTCCCAGAGCAAAATGAATGCGGTGTACTTGGACTTTGCAAAGAATATGCAGTCATGAGCAAAGAAAATAAAAAACCACTTCACCTCATTCACTAAAATTTAGTGATAATTTCCTTGCAAAGTGCAACTTCTATTGTAAAGTGAATCTGTTTGCCTTTAGTCATTCACCTCCAAAATGAGCAAAATATTCAGAATGTTGGACTATATACGTATTGTGGGGGTAGCTCAGGTGGGGGATCACCTTCCCTGGGAAAAGGGTAGTCCAGACAGCAGGGCTTTCTTAAAAACTGACTTGTCGTCAGTTTTATTTAAAAGGTTACAAGCATCATAAACAAAAACAAAACAGAAAATAAACCCTCTCCATCCAGGTACTAACTAAACATAGGAGATTCCTATCTCACCAGTGAAGGGCTTCTTCCTGTCACCAACAAATGAAAACAGTATGCATACCTTTTCCTTTCTTGTACAATGAAAACTTTCATCCACAGCTCACTCAGATATGACTCTTTGAGTCCCAGGCCAAGAGCAACTTCTAGCTCCATTCCTGATTTATACCACCTGCTGGTGGTCATCAGTGGACCACAAAATCTGGTCCAGAACCATCTCTGCCATAACGGCCCACAAAACTCCACCTTAATATCATAAAGGTGGACTCCACCTTAATATGATAGATATGATTGCATATGAGGTGACACCAGGGGCGGACTGACCATTTGGAAACTCGGGCACTGCCCGAGGGCAGTAGGGGGCCCCATGAGATGCCCCTGTCAAGATCGCAAGATCGGCGACACCAACATGCGACAATCCCACGATCACGACATCCAATATGTCACGATCGTGGTGTCAGACCCCAGACCTTCTCACCAAACTCGTGACCGAAGGACTAGCCAATCTAAAACCGCGATGTGTCATGCGTAACAATGCCACACCCAGCTGCACCCTGCACAACGATTTTCCAGCTAATGGATCACAGATCGATGTACCGGCAGCCTGGGCGATTGTTACTAAATCAGGTTAATTACGCAATTAACCCTTCACACTGCCACCACCTCCTTTTTGTCAGAGAAACAGGAAACTCGGCGGTCTCAGCTAAAACACTATAATGATTGAGATAATCGTCTGTATAAAACGGTCATAACACAGGCCTGTTATACAGAGGTTTAAACAAACAGTAGCGTTCTCTTTAAAGGCAGGGATTCGTAAATTGCAATTAAGAGCTATAGAAACCGTTCAACACTTTCAGAAAAAGACTTATTACTAAGAGGTCAAACGGGTGCAATAAAAAATATTTACAGAAAAAGATATAACTAAGATATATATATATATATAAAACATACAGAAAAAAGATGTAACTAAGATATTTATATATATATATATATATATATATATATATACATATATACAGTGGGGCAAAAAAGTATTTAGTCAGCCACCAATTGTGCAAGTTCTCCCACTTAAAAAGATGAGAGAGGCCTGTAATTGGCATCATAGGTGGACCTCAACTATGAGAGACAAAATGAGAAAAAAAAAATCCAGACAATCACATTGGCTCCACTGTGAGTTTGAATGCAAGAAACCACCTTGTCACTCGACTATTTTTCTCCTTGTTATCGCACATCCACTTAAGCGGGGCATGATCAGTAACCAATTTGAATTGTCTCCCCAAACAGGTAATATTTCAGGGCCTCCAAGGCCCATTTGACAGCCAAACATTCTTCTCAACAATTGCATAATGTTTCTCATGTTTGTTGAGCTTTCTGCTCAGGAAGACCATGGGGTGCTCCTCCCAATCTTTGATTTGGGACAGTACAGCACTGAGTCCCACATTAGAGGCATCTGTCTGTACCACTAATGCAGGCCATAGACAGGTCGAACATCGGCCGATTTTTCAAATAAGCGAAAAATCGTTCGTTCGTTCAGCCGACGTTACCACCAATGAGTAAAAAAATTGGCTGACTAAATCATAAAATTCACCCCATAACTTCTGTCCCTTGCAGGTCACGGCTCATGCGCCGATTTTGCCATCATTGCCATGAAAATAGGCCGATCGTCCAAATCAGCCACAAATTTTCCAACATGATTGATAATCTCAAAGTGCAAAAATCCCAAAAAACAGCCGACCAATTAACCCGCTAACAGTGCGAAAATCGACAGATTTTTTTTTTTTCGGCCGAAAAAATCGGCCAATTTTCAAACTGTCTATGGCTGGCAAAAGTCTTCTGTGAAATCTGGGGTCACAAGCACAGGTTGGGCACAGAGAGCTTGTTTGAACCTTTGAAATGCCGTCTCTGCCTCAGGATTCCACTCAATCAGAACCGACCCCCTACCTTTTGTCAGATCTGTCAGTGGGGCTGCAATGGTGGCAAAACTGGGTATAAAACGCCTATAGTAACCCGTGATCCCAAGAAATGCTCGGACTTGATTTTTATTTATAGGTTGGGGCCACTTTTGAATTGCCTCAATGTTATTGATCTGAGGCCTAACCAGTCCTCGACCAATAATGTAGCCAAGATATTTGGCCTCTTCCAAGCCTATGGCACACTTTTTGGGGATGGCGGTAAGACCTGCTTTCCTAAGCGAATTTACTACTGACTGCAGCCGGGACAAATGAGACTCCCAGTCTGGACTGTGGATGACGACATCGTCCAAATAGGCAGCTGCATATTGGCGATGTGGTCTTAATGTTCTGTCCATCATTCTCTGGAATGAGGCAGGAGCACCATG